GCATTCCTGTGATGTGTGGAACACAGTGGAACAGGTCTACTTAATTGTAAGTATTGAGGAAATACCTGGGTTTATTCCTAGGTGGAGGTAGTTGGATGAGGATCATAAAAGCTCAAGCCTCAGCTTTTTGGCTACCTTTTTGAAAAAAAAAAAAAAGATACTCTATTTTCAAACACAAGTGCAAATACCAGATGAGATGACAGCTAGAGACAGCTTTCTTTCAAAGTTAACTGGCTAGGCTTGAAAAACAAGCTGTTCTACAGACACTGGAGTTGTTATGCCTCGTTCTTCAGCAAATGGGCACAACCTGCTGTGTGTCTGTATTGGAAAACGTGGCTAGAGGAGTAACAGGTTGTGCTTTCCTCACTGTAAAGTTAGTTGCAGTGGTGACAATGAGACCTGTAACAAGTTTACTAAGTGGGGACAGTTCTGTGAACACAGTTCAGAATACAGCTGCTGTAAAGTCTAAGGATAAGCTTGTTTTGGTATGCTTGAATTCTGCATCCTCCCTACCAGAGGAATTAAAACTAGCAGATAGAGGAAAAACACTTGCTGTGCTGAATTCCTGTAGATGGTTTATTAGAGCATATTTTAAAGCTGTTTTCTGGTGGTGTGTCCTGTGTGTTTTCTTTGTGAGGGAACTCCCTTAGTTGAACCTTCTGTGCTCTTCAGCTGCAGTTAAATTTTGTGGGTAGTTGTGTGGTAAACTGGGCCGTGGCTTTGATTTCATGGGAAGGGCTTTGTCTCGTCTTTAGTATTCAGGCAGTGTGACTGGACTATTGTTTGCCTGTTTCATATTGAGTACTAAAGTACCCAGGTCTTAACACATGACTAAAATACTGAAGGAATTATGACTCAGATGCAACAATCTCCTTTGTTTTAGGAAGTCCACATGGTGGTCCGGTCTGAACTAACATCTTGGTAAGTTGGTGTGACAGAGTGGTTCTTAACCCTTGCCTGTTTCAGGTCAGCAGCCTGTCCTGGACTTGGTGAGCTACTTATATTGCTTCTTTTTCTCACTGAGAAAATTCAGTGGTGTTTTAAGAAAACACAAGAGCTTATCTACCCCTGAACTTAGAATTCTCTGAGAAAATTGTTGTGATGATTGGCAAAATGTTCAACTGCTCTGAAGAGAGTGAGTGAGAATAGCCTTTCTGAACAAACCTTCTACTTGAGTGTCCTTTGCATGTCAGTCCTATTTGGGCATCTGAGTGTTTTACATGTGGTGTCTTGTGTCAGTGAGCAACAATCATGACTGTGGCTTTGTTTTAAGAATAAACACAAAATTAATAGGAGCTGTCAAACTGGATAATATTCAGACATACTAGTAGCTTTAAGTGTGATTGCAAAAAGATGCTCTCAGCAATGCCTGTGGTGGTTAGAACCATTTAAATACTAAGTACTGTTGTAAGTTCTGCTGATTTGTGGGCACATAACATGCTGGTTTGTAACATTACTT